TTGGAGACCCTGAGTGGAGGTGGCCCACCTCTGCCACACTCTGTCCTCTTCTCCAATAATCTTGGAGTCACCTGTGGCCTTGTCACTGCGTGTGTGTGGTCTTCTGCCTCCCCTTCTCCCTCCATGAGGACTGTGGGATGCCATGGTCAATGAGTCACGAGATGGGGCCATGGAGAGAAAGCAAGTACTCAAGTCTGGGGGGCTAACAACCTCTCCCCCCATAATCCCTACAGGCTTCTCCCAAGCCTTCCCAAATTATAAGAGTAAGCAGAGTCAGACTCCACTGTAACTTTAGATAAAAAGGTATGGCTGTCACAACCTCTGCAGCCTCTCTCCTGAGTTCAAATCCAGGCCTTGCTACTTCCTAGTGTGCATTTGGACAAGTTACGTAACCTCTCTGATCCTCTGTTTCCTCATCTGCAGATGGGTGCCACACTGGTGTCTGTCTTACATGTTTGTTGTACAGAGTAAGACAGCTTGGCAAGTGGAAAGCATTCAGTACACTGTTTGCAAATGTTACCCATGAATATATGTGAACACCCCTCTTTGGAGATCTCCAAATGGAGGGGGAATTTTGGAAAGTGATTAGGGCCAAGTGAGACCCAGGCAACCCTGCCACACAGCCACAGGCCTTGCAACCACTGTGGAGACCCCAGCAGAGAAGAGAAGACAGGGTCGCTGGGTGCATGTCTGCAATAGGAGAGGTGGAGAATGTGATTGGTCACCAGACTGTGACGTCACAAAGAGCATGGGAGTGGGATGGAAGCAGGACTGCATTGGCATCTGGATGCTGAGATGCAAATGCATCTGGAACTCAGGAAGGAGAGAGATTTGTTGACTCATCCCACAAGAATTTGCTGAGTCCCTTCTCTGAGTCATGCTCCATCAAGGTGCTGGGGGTAGCACAATGAACCGGACAGACAGAGTCCCTGCTATCACGCAGCCTGCATTCTAACAGAGGGAAGGAACACATATAAAGACACTTGATGGGCTGGTTCCCGGACTCAGCAGTAACATGCTGCTCAAGAGAAGCTGGATCCCACGTTGTGACCACAGTTTGAACCCCCAGCCTGGTCAGTCAGAGATACACCAGGCATGTGCGAGTGCCCAAGATCTAACAGGCGAGAGGGCTAGCTGACCGGACCCTATGGTGAGTACTTGTCCCCCTCTCTCTCTTGCTCTCGTGCACATGCTTGCACTCCATCATGAATAAAGAAACACACACACAGGCACATCTTTTTCAAAAAAGAAAAGTTGCTATTTCCCACTGCGATAAGTGGTGCAGTGAATATAATCAGGGTGAGGTGGGCAGGCAGTGAGTAACCAGCAGGGTGGGATTCTCTGAAGACACAGACTGCATCATGAGCAGCAGAGATGCAAGGTGAATGGGAATAATGTGTCTGGAAGATGGAACTGCAGGTGCAAAGGCCCTGAAGTCACGGGAGGAACACGCAGGCAGCCGTTGGGACTGGAGAAGAGGAAGATGAGGTTGGAGCACGAGCAGGAACAGGGCTATGGATGAAGGGTAGAGGAATTCAGGAACTAAGACATTCACTTCTGAGAAGTAGTGAAGGGAACCGCTTTAGAAGGGCCTCTCTGGCTGCTGTGCAGAGAACAGGCCAGAAGGGAACAGGAGTTGAGAGCCCAGGAAACAGGTGGTCTCCGTTGTCCAGTGAGAGGCTGCCTGGACTGAAGTGGCAGCTCTGGAGATAGAGAGAAGTGGTTAGAACCGAGATGTCTCTGGTCCCTGTGCCATATGCCATGTAGCTGATCTAAGGAGGCCCCATGTGACCGGCAGAGCTGGGCTTCCTAGAGGGGCCTGGGAGTGAGAAGCATAGGAGTGGGATGCTGCTGCGGGGCCCTGAGAAGCAGCTCTGCACCTCCTCCTGTGGGGGAGCCAGGAGCACTGAAGCACCACTACCACTGGCATGGGTCTGGGAATCCAAAAGTGGGGGAACCCATGCCATGTCTCCAGGGCAAAGGGAAGCTGGACGTCTCCAGAAGTTCCCACACCCGGCGTGGGGCAGAAAAAGCTGCAGGGCAGGAGGCCCTGAGTCCCCGCATGCTCCAGGGAGCAGCACAATATCTCCCTGAATGGCCAAGATCAGTTCCCACAGCATGAAGAGCTGCTGCTGGTTCCTTACCACTGGAGCCCACTCAAACCTCGGCCGTGATTTTCTCAGGACATGGTGAAAACTATTCGCTTACCCAGACTCCTCTGCAGCCAGGGAGCCCAAGTGTGCTCTGGCAAATAGGATAAAAATGGAAACACATAATGGACCTTCAGGAAAAACAGACATTCCCTGATAAAAGGGGACAGTCACAGTTAACACGTTTGCCCTTTGCTCTGTTCCCCCCCCCCCTGCCCCCAGTGACACTGGCAAAGAAATTCTTGTATGCAAGAGCCTACGATAATGGGAAACATGAAACCGCCTGCGAGCAGGGCGGACACCACAGGCTACAGGTGGCAGAGAAGGAGGGCCGGAGCTGGGTCCCTCTGGCATTAATTTGAGACTACAACAGCCTGATATGTCTCTCTCCAGCCCTCTCATATGATGGGAAAATCAACTGATCCAGGACATGACTGGACATGGGGGCACTAGGAAAGTGTCAGGAAGGCCCCACATTTAGATATTTATTCAGCATTTAATAAGTGCTTACTGTGCGCTGTACCATATCCTAGGCTGGAATTACATTTGAAATTTGGTCTAGACAACAGCCACTCAGCACTAAGGACCACAGACGCAGGGCGCCCTGCAGCAGAGTATCAGCCCTGGACATGTTGGTGGCGAAACAGACACAAGTCTGCCCCAGTGGGGCCTACGGCCTACTGGTAGTGTATAGCGAGAGAGAATAAATAAAACACTATGCTTGGAGAAGATACACGTTATGGATAACAATAAAAATTATTTTAAGTACGCACTCTGAGGACCAGGACATACGCATCCATATGTGTACATGCGTGCACACACATGCACACTGTGTCTTGATGAAAACCTTGCAACTTTGATGTAATTCCAAGGAGAAAAGAAAATTCGATTCAGTCTGAGAAACCCCGATTTGACTGGGGATTGTCATGAATTGACTAAGATTACACTTTTACCTTAAAAACGGATCCTATGGCCTAATGCAGCTCAAACTGCCTGCAAGGTGCCTGTCACCTGGGTCTGCAGTCAGAGGAAGTGGAGCACGGCAGCTGCAGGGCAG